TCCCCAGGTTGTCCATGTTTGAGGTGAGCTTCCTGAGAAGGAGTCCATCAACCACTGGAATGATAATGTACTAAAGAATTTTCTTGGTCTCAGTTGATATGGATATTTTATGATATACCAGAACCCTCTGACTATAATTTTCACTTAAAGATTTAGATGTCAGTAAAAATAAATTTGAAAATCAATTTTTTCGCAGAAAAGTTTTTTCTGGTGCGGGTTTAAAGCATACAAGCACTTTTTACTTAGAAGAACATTTGGCACTTGGTTTGTTGAGAACAATTAAAAATAACCACACTACGAACTTTTATGTCTGTGTAAGGTTGACAAGGAATTAACAATTAAAAAACTCATTGTTCTTTGGTGTATTAGGGAAGATCGTTTGCGTCAAAGGTTGATGAAATTGTTTCCTGGAGCAAATTACCAACTGAAATTAACGAAGGTCAGTGCATTACCTAGTTTGTTCTTCTTAAGATTCCGGAAACTTTATTTCCGTTTCTGCATAACTTGCACACAGCAGCGTTGAATAGCTGTCTTACAATTCATCAAGTCTAAAGAGAACAAAAGAAAATCGATGTTCCATCCGCAAAATTCCAACCCCTGTTTAACTCCTGTTTCTGGATTGAAACTGATAGCATATAAAGAGCCAACAAAAGTCAAATTTTTTATTTGTTAAATGCAGGGTTATGCCACGTTTGTGCTTCAACCACTTGTCAGGGATCATCACACGTTGATACTAACGAGACCAATATACAGCTAAAGGCAGTTGGATGCTCCTTAAGTAATACCAGTTGCGATGGAGAGGTACTGGATAAGATTGAAGGATCTTTTAAGAACAAGACTCAAGTCTTAGGAGCATCCCTGGTTGTTGGTGGAAATCCATGGGAGACTAAATCATCCATGTTTGAGGTAAGTTTCCTGAGGGAGAGTTCATCAACCAGTGCAATGGTAACACACTAAGGGATCTGCTTTGTCCAAATTGACTCATCGCTTTTTATTATATCTTAGAAAAGCCTTTTAGAGATAGGAGACCCTCCATCGTTTACTGTACAGAGTCCTGTTTCTTCGGCAACATCCTTGGATGGATCGACAAAGTTAGATTTGGATACTGCCGTTATGTCATCCTTCAGCTGCAACGCAGGGACCTCTATTGAAAAGAAAACTTGTGACTGCGGTACTCAAACAGCAGTATCCCTGGAATTGGATACGAATCCACTCATTACGAAGTCTTCCAGACTTGTTGACTCGTTTACCGTTGAATTGGCATCCCCAAATGAAGTCAAAGAACGGGAGTCAACTGGGGACTCTCTCAGTCACTCAAGAGTGTCGTTGGGAACTGATGCAGTGGAAGCTAGAAAGAATTCCATTGCGTGCGAAAGGAGAGGCGAGAGTCCATCTCTCAATGTACATCATGACGAGTGGACCGTGAATCAGCTTCCAAAGTCACCAGGATCAACAAAAATTGATTTGGAGACAACCAGTATCATCTCCTTTTTGTGCGATGTAGAAACAACAGAAACGAAGCCATCTCGTTCGAAATCCTCCAGCTTTGTTTCAAAGATTTCAACTGGATTGGAAAATTCAAAGTTGGTGCCTAAAGGTGGGTGTGGCATCAACACTTGAGAAATTTCATTGGCTTTTGAAAGAGGATGTTAGGATTAAATCATACCCAACGCCCACTCTTATGATTTTGAAGAAACGTCTTTTTCGTCGACATTCCAATTTTTCTGGGTTACGAGATAAAACCTCAAGATACTCGTTGATAGAAAGATTTGTTTCAGGTTCAAAAGTATGAATATTATGCACAGGTAGCTGATTTTCTTTTCTTTTTTTAACGTTTAGGGAAAAAAAGGAAACTGATGCACAGTGCTCCTGAATGTTCCTATTTAAGATCTGATGAGCCGCTGCCAAAAGTCCCATGTTTGTTCACTGAGACAGAGGAACATCAAGCTAAGTCTCCAGGGGTAGAGGTGACCATTGAACATCCACCTGCAGAGGATCTGGGTGAACCGACTGACCCAGCAACATCCACAGGGAAAAATATATCTCCACAAGCTGAAGGTTTGATAGAAGAAGCATCTAACCTCTCTTAACAGGAAAAAAATTTGCCTTCACGTTCTTTGTAGTCTCTCGTTGACTGAAATATTCACTCGTTTCACGAAATCGATACTTTTATGATTCTAAAATATTGACATTTGATTTGGGTGGTTTACTCTTTATTTCCAACTGATAGGGAAAACAAGGAAGCGAAAGCGCAGTGCTCCGGAAAGTCCAGATACATCTGAGAAAGAGTCCTACGAGCCATTTCGAAAATCACGATGTTTTGACATGGAGACAAAAGAACCTCAAGTTGTGTCTCCACAAGCTGAAGGTGAGAAAGAAGAAGTTTTTGACTGATCTCAACGGAACATGTTTAGTTTTGTATCCATCGTTGACTGAGGTATCCAAGATTGGTTCTTAGTTGTTGACTTGTTTAAGTCACATCAATAATGTCATGTCCACCCCAGATGTTTTGGAAAAATTTGTGGAATCTATCAGTGTGATTCAATGTTATTATGGCTGTGTAATTTTACGTTCCTACCGTTTTCCTCTTTATATTTAGAGCCAAGAGTTAAAGTGGAAATTGGAGCAGATCCCCAAAGTCCAGAAGCTTTGGAGTACGCTCATTTCTGCCTCAGAAATGCTTATCACGCACTCCTTGGTGCTACGGCAAAAAATTTAACCATCCATCCTCAGGTTAGCAAAGCTAGTATGCATTTCGATTGGCACTCATGAAATTCATGGAGTATCTTCATAGCACCTTTTGAGCGAGGTAGACCTGGTGCTCTTTGTTACAGGAGGTATACCATATCCTGTGTATTTTGTTAAAATTTCGATCGATTGTTTGCATTTTGAATTAATAAGGATATGTGGGATAAATCATCACAACAGCTATCTTTTCCCTGAACCATGTTAGCGATCACTTGCACATTCATTGATGAAGATTTTTGTACATTCATTGATGAAGATTTATGAGGTCTGTGAAACGAACCTATTTGGTTTCAGGCTATTGTTGAGCCTTCTCAGCGAAACAGAGGGCGCAGGAATCGTATCAAAAGAGTGTGGAACGGGGAATCATTTGTTCCGGAGGTACGTCTTAATTAAAACCCAAATGTGGTTCAAGGAGCTCCTTATGAAATTGAGAGTTTGTGGAGAGTTCTGTTGGGATAGGGGATAGGGCTGCCTCAATCGTCAATCTCTTAAAACAATATGCACATTTAACTATGCCTGAAATGAAAGGAAGCCATAAATGCGCAAATCAATTTAGTGTTGCTGTGTACAGTTCAGATTTTCCACCCCTCACTGGTTTATTACCTTTGACATAATCACATAATAGAAATATTTCCGATGTTCAGGTTAATCTGAATTTCATAGCAATTATATCATAGCATTACAGATATGATCAGATATTTAACTTGAGTACGAGTACGAGGAGAATATTTACATGCTATTTTTTGCCATAGACTGAAGTACGGGCACAAAGTGAACCCTACAAACGGCGACGACGACGAAGAAGGAACTAAGAGGTGGAAGCACATGGAAAGGATGCTCCACAAATATTTTTTTTTTCTACAAACTATTACAACTTGGAACTAAGAAGTATCATGCCACTTGATGACCGGCTTAAAAAAAAGGGAAAGAAATCCGAATATTTTTAGAAAATCTACTTTCATACCTGAAACTTAAGCTGAACGACCGATTCTGACTGAAACAAAGACATTATCAAAATGTCTGCTTTCTTAAGTTAGCATTAAACAAATACTAAAGCCGAAACTTTTTGTTGATTGTTATGGAAACAACAAACTAAAAACAAAAAACAAAAAAAAAAAAGAAAACAATCAACAAGTAATGTCAATTTCGTTTTTATTCATAAAATAGAAACAAACCTTCTACTGTAACATTTCAAAATAGCGAGGTAAAAAAGAAATAGATAAAACCCCTCTATATCATCTAACGTCAAACCAAAGTATTTTTGTGTTCCCTTTAGATGAATGGAGCCAAAAAAAAATTATAAGCATAAAACAAGGTCATCCAAGTGGCAACAATGTTTATTCTGAAGCTGATTAAGATGTGAATGTGGCAAAGAAATCCTATATTAAACTGTGTACTGTTTTTCAAACGTGTTTTTGTTTTCATCGAAAAGAGATGGAATTTTAAATATACATTTTCCGGTGCGTAGTCACAGGCGTCAGGGAGATATCTTCGCATACTCTGCGCTCTCCTCGGCTCGTCACTAAAAACGACATCACAATCCTCAACATTCTGAATGAGAGGGCTGTGTAGGGGGGGATTATCTTAAGTCTCATTCTTGTCTAAGTCATACTTTTCAGAATCTCAATGACATTTCAGCGACTTTTCTCCTTCAACTCTGGACTATGTTCACCAAGGTGTTTCCTATTCCAGATGCCCCGATAGGAAGAGGAGAGTCAGAGAAACGCCGTGGAGGGAATAAATAATAAGCTTTGCGACACGGTGTGTATATTATTGACAGCTCAGGACCGAATTAGTCGCTCTCGTTTAAGGAAAAACTCTACGAGCGCACACCGAATATGAGCTAATTTTATTTGGTTTGACAACGACTCAGGCTGAAAGACGTAACCTGTAAGAAAATCATGTCACGCATTAAGCACATTAAAAGTGCTCAACTTTCCGTAACATAAATATTTTTATACCGAATATGGTGTTTCTTATTTGGTTGATATAGGCAAAGCTCTGGGGCAAACCGATTTTTTCCGCCATTTCTTCACGGCTCTTTCACAGACATTTCTTCTTACTTCACAGACGACTTGGTTGACCATACTAGTTGGAGCTAGGTTATATTTGACTTCCTTCAACCAATCAGTGGGCTAGAAATTTAATAACCGTGCTCAACTCCTTACTATCTGACCATCGGTGATCAAATCACGTCCAATCTATGATTTCCCATAACCCTCTACGGCAAACTCGGGTATTGATGCATTATGGGGCGGGAGGAACGGCGGCTGTCGTGACGTCACTTAGTGTTGATTCTGAGCGTGTCTTCTAAAATGATAAGAAACAACCGTTCGTGGATTCTACCTTCAGTATTCTACTTCTCATAACACTACACTTTGAACCATATTGCCGACAGCTCCACAACCGTTGGGCCGCGTGAAACCTTGTTGTTGATCTTGGCTCGGAGATGTTTCGGTGTCTTCCATGGCGTTGTAACCGCCAAGTAGATTTTCTTGATCGCAGTCACTGTAGCCTTACCTTCGTACCCGATGAAGTTTACCGCTATGATAGATCTTTGGAAGAGCTGTTGTTAGATGCTAATCAAATCAAAGATCTTCCGAGGGTAATAACGTAGCTTCTTGAACTCGATTGGAGTAATGGAGGCATTTATAACATGCACTTTTTCTTCTCTGCAGCCGTTCTTTCGCTTGTATAATCTGCGTAGATTGGGTTTGAGCGACAACGAGATCGCGCGCTTGCCTCCAGAAGTCGGAAATTTAGCAAACCTTCAAGAATTTGACATCAGTCGAAATGGTAAGATATACCTCCTTTACACCTTATTGAGATAAATATTTCATTGAAATCCTCTAAGAACGCAGAAGGTAGTGTAGTATTTGTGTGTTCTTTAAGCGGGCGCCCATTTGTATGGTATGATTCGGTATGTGATATAAATGTTGATATTGTTCATTCTTGATCTTACACTTTTGAGTAATCGCATGCTGCTGTAACTGATATAAAAATTTTCAAACCACACCTCAGTGATATATATTCTTTTTCGTCCTTCTCTTTGCTGTTTAGATATCTGTGACATACCGGACAATATTAAATTCTGCAAGAGTTTGATCAGTTTGGACCTCAGCGGTAACCCCGTGTCGAAGTGAGTTGTGTGTAATAATCATCATCTACACTGCGAGATTTTCTCGTTTAATAGATTGAAAGAAAACACTTTGAGACTTAACTTGTGCTTATGAAGTATTTTAGCCTTTGGTATTTCAAAAGACAGCCTCAACTGGTCGTACTATCTTTACGGACTTTTGTTTTTTTTATGTCAGCCACGTAAATTAGAAACTTGTCGATCTTTCCTTCTGCCGCACGTTATTTATGTTAGGGTACATGCTGTACTACCAGTGCGATGGTCAGCACTCATATTTTAGTAGTACTTTATTAGAATTCAGTGTTTGGAGAGACTAATGTGACTTTTTATATGTGTTTGGTGTGATAATATTATCATTTGGAAGTCTTCTTGATTTTTGGGAGTTCCAATTTCGTGTCCACCTCTCGCGCAAAATCACAATCTCAGACTCGAACCGATTTTCTAATGATCAATCAGGGAGGATTTGAACGTTCCATTTATCTGACTTTGTGTCGCCTTCCTCTTCTGTTGTGAGATTTACCCGAAAGTATCGTGAAGCAGACAATAGCATTTTTTGCAAATAAATCGTGTTTAACACTTTCTGCAAACGTAATAATCTCAACGCTTGATCCATGTCTGTACGTAGACAAAACCTCGATGAGTGATTCGTGAAGATTTGCAAACCATGTTGTTCTAGAATAGATGATGTCTTGCGACTCCTCATTACCACTCTCGAATTTTCATTTCATGATTATTGCTTCCTGTATATTTTTGGTGGCCACTCTTATTCTCGTTGTATCAATTTTTATTTAACATTACGCCAGTGAGGGAATTTAGCTTGTTTGTTTGTGAGTTTGGATCAACAGCTGCACGAGTTTCGTTTGTGGAGAAAGTTAGTGTAGGTGTTGCAGCTTGTAGATTTGCATGGATTTGGTAAGAAACTTTCTCCACCATGTCTATAGCGGAACTATCGGAAATGCCATGATGTTAATTTTGTCCATGGATTTCATTTCATGTTGTAATCGATTTACACTAGAGCTAATAATTTCTTTACAAACGTCTTTCCATTTGAAATAAAATTTGATCGTAGGATTGTTTAGATTTCGAATATCGAGGCCGGCTTTTCGAAAAAGCACCTAAAATGGCAATATATTGGTATTCTTTCTTCAGGAGTTTGTACTGGTTGATGCAAATTAATAAACGTAAACAAATATAATAAGTCAACCAGCGTGATTCTTTTCCTTTGGTTTTCCGCCTGAACCAATCTTGCTTGGTTGTTTATCTCAGTTCTTCCATTCTGTTTAATTTCACCGGTTGGTTTGTGATGAACTGATCAGTCATTTTGGTTTACCCTTGTTGCTTATTTTATTTGATCTTGCAACATTCTTGAAATTTTATTCGTGGTATGCCGTATTATTTGGAAGATTTTCTACATTAAGTTCTGTTTTTTGAAAAATATTTTTCACAGTTAGTGTCTGTGCTGCTCTCTTTTGTATGTTTTTCAAATGCAGGTGATTTTATGTTTGTTCATTTTAAAGTTAAATGTCTTAATCTGCTGAGTTAAATCTCTAGGATCATTGTTTGGCATTTCAGTCATGCAAATGTTACTTATTTTCTTATCCCTCTTTATATCATTCTCTATAATAATCATATATTCTGATATTTATTTGAGCAAAGTGAAGGGTTAATGTCATTTTTGTCCCATAAGTGGAATCTTGAGTGTAATAATGCTTGGAGTAAAGTTAACATCAAAGCCTATGGGAAGCCATAAGGCTTTAGAAATGATTTGTTCTCTATCATACAATTTGTAGTTCAAAAGTCAAACATTTAAAACATGGGAAAAAAAATGGCAAAGTAGAAACAGAACAGAGGTAGTTATAGTATTAATTAGTCTTGAAAACTTATTAGTAATTGAAATATTTACTTTTTCTTATTATTGCTCAAATGTAGTTGAACAATATCATGTCTGATTAGTTTTTATGTGTGATATTTTGATGTGGAATGTGTGAGTATTGGGCTCAATTGGCCACCTGAGCAATGTCTTCTACGTTCTGTACAGTGCTTGAGAAATTATTCTAGGTTTTGAAAATATACCATCTTGAAATGAAGACTTAGAACAGAAGAGCTGATTTACTCAAGTAACATCCAGTCACTTGATTGTATCACTGCTCCAAACCTCCATCGAAATATAATCACTTCCTTTGAGATAGAGACCCTTCCTGAGTAATTAATAGGATTTACCAGATCACCAATTTAATTATATCACATTCAATAGTGATTTAACATGAACATTCTCTGAGAAATAATTTGAAAATCATACAAAAGATAAGAGCTATATTAAATGCCCTTAACATTCTAGCATCAGTATCCATAATCTCTATCCATTTCTTTGGTAATGACAGTGAGAATTTGTTTAAAAATCAAAGCTTCTCAGGTTGGGGATCATATCCTTCATACTCGCCATCTTGACCCAGCAGTGTTAAAATTTGTTTACCCTTAAACTTTGAAGTACTCAAAGAATTACTATTTTGGTTATGTATTGAGCAAATGGTTCTGTGTGTCAGGAATGACTGTGGGGTTGTTTTTGTATTAAGTTTTAAATTCTTTATGGTAACTTGCATGTATTATTTTGAACTCTGTCAAAAAACTTTACTGTATATTTGCCCTTCAATTTCAAAGCAAAATTAATAGTCTGTGTAGGTCTTAAAACCAAGCAGGAGAGTTTCTTGTTATTAGGTCAAGTTTGTTTTCTGTATAAGTTTTAGATTACCACTTATTTATGGTCCAACCTGGAGTGCTTAATTGCTTAATTTTTGTAGTTATTGAATAGTTAATCTATGATGTCTGAAGAGGTTTGTTACTGTAAACAGAATATGATGTTTGTTGATAGAACAGTGAAACTTACCTGACACATGTTCATTTGAGGCTGCAACAATAAAATAGTCTAAAACTTAAAGCCGAAGTTGTTTAAAGCAAACTTAGACTATTTCCATATTTTTATTATGATTGGAAGTTTGATAGTGAATAAGCCATAGGCTTCTACTTTGTATTGTAATGACAATGAACTGACAGCAGGCATGCAGCAATTGGTGGTAGCCTCTGATCTGTCAAAGCACAGATGACAATTGAAAACTGTTTTCTTGACTTTGTCTAACATAAGGTACAGTTTTGAATGTTTTTTTTCTTGAGTTATCCAATTAATGGTTGTTAAAAAAAATCAATCTGGAGTTCTGGAGTTGTTTATCACCCAAAAAAAGAAACTGGTTTTCTAGCAAATTATTGAACAACTTTGGTAGTAATATGGCTGGGACACTCAAGCATACCATGGAAGGTTTTAGTATTTCTTCATTCTACATTTCTCTTCACTGTGTTAAATAAGTAGGTTCCTTATTGTTACATCTGTATATTTTTAAATCCCAGAAGACTCCAAAGTGCTACAAGAACATCAGCAAAACTCTTGCTTGTAGGCTGAAGACACCTTGATAAAATGAAGTGTATTTTTTTAAGAACTGCAGAGATTGAAAACTAAATAAATGTTATTTTAAAAGGAGGGAATTTTCACAAGAATTGTAACTGTTATAAATTATCTGGAAATCAGGAATTTTAGTTACTAACTTACAAGCATGGGTTTCAGTTTGGTGGCAGCTAAATGTATCATAAATGTTTCTTGTGTGTTTTGTAGACTTTGTGTTACTTTGTGATGAAGTGGACAAAATTGTAATCTGTAGCATGACCTTTGTAAGGTTATAGCAAATGGGCTATGAGCAGTTGTGAACCAATAGTGACTACAAATTAATTTTTCAATTAATTTCAATTTTCAATTAATTTACAGTTGCTATTACAGTTACAGTAACTGTTATTATTGGTCCACAGCAGCTTAATGAGACATGGGCTAAACCCTACTTAAGTTAGCCAGACTGCAGGTTGTTCTTGTCCAGCTGTAGTTTTCACTGTAAGCTGGTTAAACGGCTGGAATAGCTTTGACTATTATCCTACTTCAGAATTATAAGAAATACCCTGTGAATGAATGGTACTTTAGGCTTTGGTTTTTAATGGCAGTTGGTGTGGCCAACATATAATGTACTGTACATGTGTAATTGATTTGTATGATTTTAGAAGTTAGCCCTGCTTTGCATTGATTTTTATTAGGTCATTGTGATGCTGACAATAGTGATAATTTTATCATTATCTATCGATTATAATTTCTTCATCACTCATCGTTGGAGGTTTATTTCAGTAAAGTTGTATAGATTTACTTAACCAAACCCTAAGTTTTTATTGCACACACAAATACAAAGACTGTTAATTATAGTTTTTTTGGCTGAATTTAGCAATGGGTCTTTTTTGTTGAGAAGTACTGTAATTTTTTCTTGTGGATGGGTTGTAAGTTAGTCCATTAGGGTGAACTTCCTGTTTTATGTGTTGCTTTTCCAATAAAATGGTTATCTAATTGGCTCTCATTTCTGATGAAAACAAAAAGAACTGAAATTTCTGAACAGAATGTTCTGCACAACATTGCTTAAAAAAGGTATTCATTTGTTATTAATGTCCAGATGCTGGTTACTCTTTTGTAAAATTGATTTTTTTCTTTGGAAAAGAAAACAGATCTTTGTTTTGTGTCATTTTGCTGTAGCAAAGTTTGCAACAGAAGGTGACAGACTGATTTATTATAAGTAACTTTCTTGTGATGGAGTTTCTTTTGTGTTACACATAAATTATGGTTAAGTTAAAGTAAATCCTTGATACAACAAAAGAACAATTTTCAAGGTTTGATTAAACAATGGAGAGGTAAAGTTAATGCATAAGGAATATGAGGTATGGGCTATCAAGTATCCAGCGATTAGGAAATAAGCACAAGGAATTCTGTTTGCATCTTTGTAGGGGTTGGTCTCTCAATTCCCTATAGAAAACATTTGTGGGTAGGTTATTACCGAGGCTTTGGACTAAAGTAAGATTTGTCACTTTAATCCTTCTATTACTGTAGGTAACTATAATTAGATGGAATTAACCAGATATTAAAGTACTAAATTATATTTATAGGCTTCCGGATGGCTTTGCACAGCTCAAAAATCTCACTACACTTTGTCTAAATGATGTGTCTCTGATTCGTTTGCCCCCAGACATTGGAAGGTGAGGGGTGAATGCCTGTTCTCATATTATGTACATGTGAATTTACTGAATATTTACAATCACTGAAGGGGATGTTCATGGTTGGTTACAGTGGAGCTTATGGCAGAGTTCATTCGAGAATTTTGTCAATAAATGATCTTTCATCATTAAGTGGAATATACTATTAACATTGGTAGTACATATTTCTTAGAAAACTACACAATTAGTTGTCCTCTGCAATTGGACTCTTTAATGTTGGTACAGACTAGTTTTGTGTCAGGTTTTTCTTCTCTAGGCCAAATTTAAATGTGGAGTTCAATGCAGACAAATCTGTGTTTATTGGCAGCAGCTTCCCACAGATAATCAGCCTTCATGACTATCTCTTTTTTGTGCTAAATTTGATTTATCAATTGTATGGTGCTTGTTATTAGAATCAGCCTTTAAATCCTGGGAGTATCTCCTAGTGAACTAAAAGGCTAAGAAAGACACTATTTAAGTTTCTTAAGTGATCATTGGCTAATCCTTTACAGGTTAAAGAGAAGATGTAGAAATCTCATTAGCATTTGGGAAGGATTTGAATTTGAGAAGTCAAAGTTTTTTTTCAAAAAGAGAAAGGAACTCCTTTTATTAAAAAAGAAGAGGATGAAGATAATAGATCAGTAAAAAAGTAAACTTGTGCCCATTAGACAACTCTTCAACCTCACTGCTTTTAATTATTTTTCACTGCTTTAATTTTCACTCCCAGTTTAACAGAACTCAAAGTACTGGAAGCACGAGAAAACTTGATCAAATACCTCCCAGTGTAAGTTCACAAGTTGATGATTTAGGTATCTTTTAATAATAAATTTTTAGCAATAAGTTTAATTTCTCTAGATCTACTTTTTACCAGTATAGGACATTCGCATCGCATGTCTTTGTTTTGTGGATCAATAACAGTATCTGAGCAATTGTGTACCCACCCCCTCCTTCCCCAACACAACATTAACCCAAACTTGTTGGGTTAGGGGAGGGGTAGGTGGAAAATTACTCAGATGATGACATAGATCTTCCTTCATTATAGTTTTTTATTCTTCATTGGATTTGTCAGAAGTTCTTTTGCATATTTTTGTTGTTTATAATTTATAACAGTTCCATGGAGTTCCTAACAAAGCTTGAAAGATTAGACTTTGGGTGCAATGAACTTGAAGAACTTGTAAGTAGTCAGAGCAAATTGTTTTAAGTGTGGTCAAGTTAAATCATGGTAATAAGACTGAAGCCATTCCAGCCCTGGGTATGAAATTGTTTCCAAAACACAGCATGTGCATCTCAATCAATAACTAGACGCCATCTTGGATTTAGGTGAGCTTGAACGTTGTATATCATTCATCCTAGTGTCCACTTTGTAGTAAGTTAAATATCTTTTCCCTAACATAATTTTGGAGGGTCTATCTAGAACGCTGACTGCGTAAAAATGAGGTTTTGTTTGTCTTTGAAAATGGCGACCAACTTTTTTTGAATTGGCTACCACTTTGAAGAATTTAGGAGCCAAGTGGTTATCAGAAAAAAAAAATTAATTTCATGCCTCGCAGCCTGTAATAATGCAAGCAATTTGTTCATTGTAATTACAGACAGACTTGAACAACACAAAGTCCTGTTATCAATTAATTAAAACTGCATGTATGACAAACTTTGAGAAAGGAACTAGCCAACAGTTACACCATTTCATTACAAAAAACAGCAGTTTACTTCGTGAAATGTGCAACAACAGCCCACTTAGACAGGTTACAAGGGGGGCATTTAATTTGCTTGGAGGAGAAGGCTGGTAAATTTGGTGAAAACCAGATTACTTGGCTTTGTTTATCGCATTTTTCTTAGTAAATTTGATTCATTTTGGTTTTGTATAGCCTGACATAGTAGGGTCACTGCCAAACCTCATAGAGTTGTGGTTGGATGGAAATCTGTTGAAGACATTACCACCAGTAAGTTTATATGCATTGACACTGTCTCCATTTACCAGCCAGCAAAGTTATTCAGCATTTTTATTCACTTTTTTTATCTCTCTTTGTTTTCTTGTTTATCCAATACCTCATCCCTTTATCTCTCCTCTTGAGCAAACTTAGAGACTTTTTCCCCTTCTACTATTTTATCTGCTCTAAAAATTGAAATAAGGGGCCTGCCAATCCTAGATGGCAATCAAACCCTAAAGTCATGTCACATCCAGAGAGAAGTGACAGATAAAGAAGTAAATGGGTTACTGAATCAATAAGCTGCTGATCTTCTTCTTTTTATCAGGAATTGGGAAGCCTCAAGAAACTTCAAATCTTTGATGCATCAGAGAACAAGATTGAATATTTACCAGATGAAATTTCTGGTTGTGTTGCTCTAACTGATTTCCATTTATCTCAAAATTTGTTAGAAGAACTTCCTGATACCATAGGTATGTACAGGGTTACTGCAGATTCTTTAGTGATCACTTAGCTGTATGTGTTCTAAAACTTCAAAAACATTGGTCATCCTTTCTTGATTAACTTTTGTAGGAAAACTTAAGAAGCTGCAGTTGATTAAAGTTGATCAGAACCGGCTTCTTGCTCTAACACCTGCTGTGGGAGGGTGAGTAAGTTTTTTTTAATATGGGAGGAGAGGTGCAGGTTGGTATGCATTGTTGGAATGAGTATATAGGGTGAAAAGGCTGTCTGTGGCCCGTCAGAAAGATGTTACTGTTGACAAAAATAAGTTGACAAAATGCAATATTCTCTGTCTACATTGCAGACTTTCCAGCTTACAAGAATTAATTTTAACTGAAAATCTCCTTGAGGTATGTTATTTCATTTCTGACAGGTATTGAGAAAAAAATTATATCCACCAAATTGTTGACGGGTGATTGTGAGTTCTACTGACACTTCTTGTTTTTTTTCTTATTCTATTTGAACAGGAAATCCCTTCGACAATAGGAAAACTCCACAAGCTAACACATCTTAATGTAGATAGGAATAGACTTACAGCTTTGCCAGTTGAGGTGAGGTTCTTTTAAATGTTATTTCTTCCCTAAAACCAAAAAAAAAAAGGTTTGAATTTTTCCAAAGAATATAGAGGATTTCTTTATGTCAATTTAAAAACTACTTATATCATAAATTTTTTTCAATTGACAACTGGTGATATTAATAACCAATGAATTGCATTACTTTAATTATGTTGAACATCTTGCAGATTGGAAGCTGCACAAGATTGAGTGTTTTTTCTCTAAGAGAAAATTGGCTGACACGTTTACCATCAGAAATCGGCAACTGTAGAAATCTTCATGTTTTAGATGTATCAGGAAATAGGTGAGGAACATGGTATAAATGCATTTTTAGTTTTTGTCCAAATGATTGATACACTTAACTGCAACAAGTCCAGCCAAAGATCTATGTTGTTATTCACCCTTCTGGCTAAAATAGGTTTCCCAGGTAATTTTTACTAGGAATCTAGATAACAATTTCCTCTCAGAAGTTTGTTGATAATAGTCTAGGTTAAAAATGGAATAAAAAATTGCTCCTTGTTGTTGAACAACGAGAGTAAGGGTACTTGTAAAAACCTTTGTGTTATGTACTGAATATACTCAAGTTAGTATGTCTTCATAATTAATCACTCATGACTATCCAGTTGAAAAGGATGTCTTTTCAGGCTTTTGTAAAAAACTAAAAGATTAAGTGATGTTTAGTTTACAACTTCGATTAAAATACTTTTCACACATGCAAACTGTGATACCTTTTTCTTATGGTTTATCAAAGTTAGTGTTTATATTTCTCTTTAACCAATTGTCTGTTTTGTGTAAAAAAGGTTGGAATGTCTTCCACTAACAATTGGATCTTTGCCATTGAAGGCGTTATGGTTATCAGAGAACCAGGTATTAGAATATCATTACTTTGTTTAATAAATTTTTATTTTCAAAAGGAATCAGGAAGAAGGATAACTGTTAGAACTTTCATTCTTGCCTGATTGATGGTATAGTAAATGTAGACACATTCTGGTTATTTCTTTCCCTTTTGAACAACATATATAAACAGCTGTTGTTGGATGGAAAATTACAAAATTTGCTTAATGGAATTTTGATATTTTGTGATTTTTCATCAGCTCCTTTTTGTAACATCAGGTAGTTGAGTTGCCATTTTAAGATGGCAGATTAGCTTATGGTTTTGGCTGGCTACCAGCTTTTGTTGGCAGCTCAGGATTTACCTGCATAGTTGAGATGTGGAACTCTTGAGAGCTTCCAAGAAAAATTCTGCTTGAAGACCTTGAGAAGCTCATCAGTCAACCTTACTTTCTCTTATTTGTTTCAACTGCAATTTGGTGACTTGTTTCGTACAGTTATTGGTTGAAAGGTAATTGAATGGTATATCCTCTCTGTTTTTACCAGTCTCAACCAGTGCTTAAACTTCAAACAGACGACGATGAACAGACTAACAGTAGAGTGCTCACGTGTTTCCTTTTACCACAACAAGGCCTTGGAAGTTTAGGTAAATATATGTTGAATGTATTTCCATGCATTTTTTTGCAATTTGTCAATTTTGTGGACAGAATTTTCTGCACTGTCTTGAATTAGGCTTGCTTGAATGGATGAAAATTTGTCAATGAATTATAATTGTGAAGCAGAATTGTTTGTCTCATATTGTGATCACTTTGAATGTGGATCACAATGTTTTGAGTCTTTCTCAGTCTTCTTCAGTGTCTGGAGAAGACTCACAGAATGCACTTGAAACACTGTGATCCAAATCTATAGTGTCTACATTGAGAAAAAAAATGATTATACCTCATGTACAAGTGTATTCACCATGATGGCTAAATGCCCTCTTCAGCTTGTGACCAATAATTATTCTTTCAAATTAAGCAGTAATCTGTATGTTATTTTGCTCTGCTGACCATTATGCATTTCTTAAGGAGTTTCGAGAATTTACATTCCTTTTCTAGTGCCTTAAATACATGTATTCTGACTCACAGAACTTTGAATTGCATAAAGAAGATTAAGAAAAAACATTTTCTTTTACGAAGCTCTTTGAATTTTCATGTTTTAGAGAGAAGATTAATTTCTGTGACTGTTTTAGATGTTTTCCCTTCTTTGTTTCAACACCATTTTTCAGCTGTAACCAACCAATAACAACTGAAATTGTGAATTCTCATCTGTCTGCTGAATTACATTTCCTTTTAGTGTTAATTTGTTGAGATGAAATTTTAGGAAGAAAGAATTGTGTTTATTATTCAAGCTTTGATGGATCTGGCACTAAATTATTATTGTGCAGTTATTTGCATTTAAATCCTTCTTCTGGCACTTAAAAGACAGTTAAAGTTTCCACTTGTTTTAACTGTATGTTTGATGAATGAAATGATATTGTGGTACAAAATTGTTATGTAACTGGGTCATTCATATCAGAAAGTCCTATCTGTCTTCATTTAGGTCATTTTATTATTACAGACGTTCAGTACAGATTCAAAATATTGGGAATTAACAAAGAGCTTGCTGTTTTGAATATGCTCAACACTTTGTAATCAGAAGCAGGTGTAAAAACATAATATGTACACTTTAATTATGAAAATTTGAATAATAATGATGGCACCAATGTACATTGTACAGTAACCAGTGTTGGGTTTTTCACCAACTATTCAATAACAACCACTATATGCCATGACTTTAGAAACCTTAAATATGTATTTGCATCTATATGTATGCAAACTAGTTCGAATCAATGGATTGTTTTTGCTTTAAAGTTTTATAACTGGCACTATTTTATCATGGGGTGCCAAAATGGGACATACGGTGTCAATCAAGGTGATTTATATTTTGTAGTATTTTTATTTCATATATTCAGTGCTTTCAGACGTAATTTGTATTTTTGTGCCAAGCTGTAATTCTAATATGTCCCTTTTCAATCTATCTACGACTTCTAAATTTTGAGTTTATGCTTTAATTGAATGATACTATTTGTCCTTTGTGTGTGTTTGTGAATCAAATGTAGATTTCTTTTCTTTTAAACTGCAAATGTGGAAGGCGGTTATTTTTCCCTAAAAGACAGAGCTAAAAATTTGTCTCTGATTTTGGGTAGAATTATTGTAAAAGAATTTATTTCTTAAAATCTTTAGTACTCTTCTTTCAATGCGGTATTCAATCTAATGGTACATGTAGACACACAACAGTTTTCTCCATTGATCAGGTTTTGTCTCCAATAGTTATGGAAATGCTTATTTTCTATTGGCTGTAAGCAGTTTCAATCATGTCATGTCTTTTAGATTTATTTGTGTCTTAATTCCCCTCTTCCTGCTGAGTTACAATGTAGAATTTCATATTTATATCTGTAGGAAAACATTCTTTTTATCTGGATTTACATAAAATGAAATGGTCAAAATAGTGTCATACTGTTTTTTAATGAAGCTACCTCAAATTTATGTTCCAGGTGCAGCATTTTAAACAATTTTATTGATTTTTGTCAAGCAGTGTTATTCTGGAGTCTCAACCTTCTACTGTCAAAATCTCATGAATAATTCTTTTACTGTCTGCCATACAATTCTTATGATATAAGCTGGGAGAATTGCCATCGGATCAATTAATCCCCCAATGCATTTTTTGCTATATTCTTATCACCTATCTGCTTGATACTGTATTCAAATTGTAAGGAGAAATTCTGTCTTGGTCACTCATGGGAATTATATGGTCAAGGTCAGCATAACCTCTCAGACACATTGGCCTAAGACCTGTTGTTCCAAAGGTTGTTTCACATTATAATTTTCTTGGTTTCTTCAGAGTCGCTCACAAATGATTTAACACATGGAGTGGCATTTGAGAATCTTGCACATGATGAGATGGGGGACATTGCACGACCACGGAGTGGAAGCCTACCAGCAGTTCAGTTCGCAGAGGATTCTGGAGACAGTGATAAAGAGGTGAGTAGGAGTGAAATACTTAAGTACAGACTTTACCTCTTACCTTTTCTTCCCTAAACTTTGACTTATTTCGTTTTGATCATGATTGTCCAGGGCCTGGTTGCTCAAATGGGGTTAGCATCAATCTAGAATTAAATGATAACCTTGGTTTTAATTTCTCTTGTAGAAGAGAGTGTTAAGAGCTAAGGTTTTGTTGGATTTTATCTCAATGTGACTCAAAACTAACAGGGAAAAATTAACAAGAAAATCCCTTTGCAGAGCTATAAAAACTAATTTTAAAGTTTACACTTAACCCTTTAACTCCCAGATCAAATTTGTAATTCTCCTTACTGTCAACCATATAATTCTTATAATGTTAGTTCAGAGAATTTAGTATTGGATCAACTAATTATCCCAAAATTGATATTTTCTTTTTTCTCATCATATATGTACTTGATATTACATTGATATTGTAAGGAGAAATTCTGTCTTGGTCACTCATGGGAGTTGAAGGGCTAAACCAGGATTAGGTTTACTGTGTTTAAAGCAACCTGGCCCAGGTACTGACAATAGTACTTCTCAGGACTGCTCTCAGTGGCAACTGATGTTTTGACACCTTAGTGGAAATTACCATCAGGGATGAACAATCAAACTATATGGTCAAATGTGACCTTCTGGCTTAAACCATTTACTGTTTTGATGACAATTAAGAAAGGCTTTTGACTTACACCATGATTGTTATTTGACTTAGAGGCCACCAGAATACTTAGTGACTCTGTGATAGAGCATTGGTCTACAAATCTTTTATAGTCTGAGTTTAAACTCCTCATGGAGGACTCGTATTTGTCTTTGTACCATGCAGGTTCCTGGATTGTTTGTTTGTTTGTTTTTTTAACCAAGAAATTATGATAAGCCTTTCACATTTGCTAAGAAACAAACAATGTTTCTTACAAATGATGTAATAAACGTTTCTTTCTTTGCAGAGTACATTCATCAGACATGACACACCACACCCTAGGGATCTCAAATCTCGCCACCCAAAGATAACAATGCACAAAGTGCACAAGGGCACAGATCCTGTGGATGGTGTGATACTCAAGTCACGCAAGTCCTTTACAGTATGTATCACACTACATTGTTATTTCCTGGAAAGAACCTAGAGAACTATATTTGATACATTTGACCCTTTTCTGCTACAAAATCAGTCATGGCATTTAAGAAAAAGAATTAAGGGTCCTGCATACTTAAATTCTTTGAAATTTCTTGAATGTAAAGTATATCTTTGAGCAACAGATGATTATGTTTTGATATCCTATTTTGAGCTTCAGAACACAAATGTAGCAGAAACAATACATATCCTTGTTCTGTGAGTTTTTATCCTCATAGGCTGGTCACATATAGACCCTGCTGGTATGTTAGTCTCACCCTTTATCTCTTGGAAGTGATCAACATGCAAAATATCCCACATTATCTGGCAAACAGATCATGAGAATATTAAAAAAAAAGTCAGTAGAAGTTGTTGCCTTAATCTAACACCAAATTCTCATGGCTGATTTACAAGGAAATGTGCAGCAGCCAGAGGGGATAGTCAACAATCAAATCTTGGGAGTGAATGGGTTAACCTGTGTCTCGGACATCTCCTGGTCTTGATTTTGCTAATTTCTTTCTTGGAGTCTAGGAGGTCTTTGTCAGCTGTGCACAATTATTGAAGTTACTTTGATTTTAGGATGAGGAAAGTGGATCTGATACTGAATTTCGACCAAGAAGAGCAAGTTTTGAAATGAAACCTGAGATAGCTGACAAAAAACAGGTAACGGTTCCAGAAGCAAGGAATGAAAAGAAGGGAGTGGGATTTGCTGTGGAAACACAAGAACAGACTGAAAAACAACCTGAGGAACAGGTCAGATACAAGAGCAAATTGTCAATTTTTAATGTCTTTGGTTGGCACATATGTGCAGTGTGAGTCTGTGTGTCTGGTTAACATTGCATTGGCACAGATGGGAAAAGTGAGATGTTAATCTTGTAGGGTTCAGGTTCAGAGGATGATGGTGAAAGAGAGCAAAGAATTCGTTTTGAAGGAGAGGACCACCCTGAAACAGAAAAGCATGATAAATTACGGAGACGTGACACGCCGCACTATCTGAAAAACAAGAGGATTGATCTCCAATCAAACAACCAGGACAAAGTCATGGAAATATTAGCTAAAGCTGGAAGCCGTGAGGGTGATGAAGAACACAAAAATGATTCTGTAAGCCACCACTTTTCTTGTCCTTGAAAAGAAGCTGTACTTGCAGTTGTTGTAATTGTTATTTCAGTCTTACAGCTCTATTGATTTCAGTTCAGAGAATTTGACATTGGATCAACTAATAATCCCCTTACAGATGTTTCTTTGTTCACATCTCTTCTCTGCTTGACAATGTCTTGATTTTTTTAAAGGATAATTTTGTCTTGGTCCCTTTTAGAAGTTAAATAGTTAAACATTTGAGCATGCCACAACATACACAACTGAATGGAATTTCTTTATTGAAGTCCTGATTACATGTTATTGCTGTTTTTTTGATGTTGTAGAATGAAGATGGCAGACTTGATGGGGAAACAGAAGGTATGTTGAGTCTTTGTAACAACTGTAACAGGTATAATTAGGTAGTATTGCTATTTAATGTGCGCTCAGAACTTTCCCAAAGAAGCTAAGAGCAACAACGCCATTCTTACTCTAAGTTTACATTCTTCATAATTGTTTGACCATAATTTTGTACTACTTGCATAAGCCTTTTACCAGCAGCTTACCCACTCCCCCTATATATGACTCTAAGTTCCCTATTTAAAAAAGTCACCTTTAAGGCAACCTTCAGGTGTACAATGGTCGCCATAGAAAAAACAATTTGGTCGCTGTAGAAAAAGGATGTGGTTGCCATAGAAAAATAATGTTTCGCTGTAGAAAAAGAATGTGGCTGCCATAGAAAAAGAATGTGGTCACCGTAGGAAAAGAATGTGGTTGCCATAGAAAAAAATCATCATATCAATGGAAGGACACTTCATGTTGCATTATCAGCATTTGTTGGTTTGAAAATTGATTCTCTGGCTGGAGTTCCACTGGCCACTTGATAACATGTTGCTGGTTACTCAGGTCAAAATAGTTACCTTACCTTTTGGCCCTTAATAAACTTTTCACAGTCACATACATTTGCAGAGTCTGAGGCCTACTTCAAATCATTTTGAATCTCTTGCTTGCTCTCCAAAGATGAAATCTCCAGACAGTTTGCCAAAGATTTTCTTGTATGTTTAGACCTGAGAATTTAAAGAAATAATTTTTTAGGCACTGCAGAGACTGAGAGGTTTTAAAAAACTAATCTTCACATGAAAAAAGCAGAGACAATTGTATGACTGAAGAAACATGGAGTTTATGTTCCTGTTTATGTTTGTGGGCATAAATATGTTTTGGGTCTGAGTTAGAGTCATTTTGGCAGCTTGGGTTGAAATGACCCTGAGAAGGACTCAAAACATATTTATGCTTAAAGACATAAAGTCTTTTACTACTATTCTCACTTTGAATGGCATTGAGAAAGTCATGCAAGTGTGTGAGCTTTTAGCCTGCCAAAATCTTCCATTTTAGCCCACAAATGCACCACATTACATGAAAAAGTGACAATAATATTCCTTTTCTAAGTTTCTCAGTGAATATAAATTTGAAAAAGTTGGCAGTGGTGAATATCACGAGAATTCTACTTCATTGCAAAGAAATCAAATATGGTGTTTGTTGAATTTTTTTTCCAGCTGTCTATATAATTTAATTCACACTCCTAAATTGTGGCATAAATTAGCCTTTAAACAGGTAATTGTGGTAATTTATGATTTTGTTGAGAATCCAATATCTCAATAGGTGGGTGGAATGTTCAAAGTCCTTTATGTAATGCTTATGCTCTACAAAATTCTCAAGAGCTGAATCACCAGTAAAATTACGATATATTTGATAGTAGAAATAGTTTTTGTTTTGATCTATGGACTGAAAAGAGTGTAAAACTTTTGAAAATTAATAGAACCTGTGCAGTTAATAGTTGAAACTATCAGTGCCATCTGGTGGCAGTAAGTGGACCATGATAGATTGTTGAAAGCATTAAAACATGTGATCTGTTTATATGAAATACACTGAATATTAATGAAGTATCCAAATATGGGTAATTTTAAACAGAAATAAAAATTTTGTTTGGCAGGTATTCGGGAAACTTTCTTTAGTTCCTGAAAAAATTATGACTACTTTCTGTCTTCATATTTTGTGGCATTATCTCACTCTTGCAGGCTTAAAAAATTACTCTTTTTGGTTTGAATTGAACATCTACTCTGAACAAAAATATAAAAATCATCAGTGAAATTAGTATGGTTTTCATGAAGTGTGCTTGTAGAAATAACGTTGAGTTTATTTGAAACGTAGAATAAGTGTTAATAATTTTTCTGTTAATGTAGAGATTTTTCATTGTGTTTTCTTAAAGGCTCCTTTATGTTTATAACAACAGGCTTTGTTTTAAATTATTCATAACTTTTTGCCACATGTTGTGTTTTGAGGAAAAAAGACCTGCTTTACATATCAAGCTTTTGGTTGCACCTATGTGTATGTGTTTAATGCGCTCTGGCTACTTTGTACAGATTTCAAGATTCTTCCTCTTTGCTAAGCTATAAAATATGGTTGTCTCTGTGTTAGGGACATATGGGCCGTTTACAGTGGTTTGGTCAGGTTAGGATAGGCTATTTAATTTCTGGTTCACAGCTTTTACCACAGTTATCAATTTGATGTCCGTGTTACAGACATCACATTTGTGAATGCAGCTGTAGACTGCTGCCTTTTGACAGCTGTGAGTCGCAAAGTTGGAGCTGTTAAAAGACACCAGTCTTCACATTCCTGTTTGTTGTATTTTTTTTCAATTTACTTCTTCACTCTCAGTTTTCAAGATTTAGGAATTACCTAAGGGAAACTTAAGTTTTCTCTGCAGGAAATCCAGAGGAAAATTTTTTTATCTTTCAATGAAGTACAGTGTTCGTGAAGCAATTTTGAACTAATGGTTTGTTAATGGTAATGTTACAGGAGAATATACTCCTTAGCAAAGAGGATTTCATGCGTAATGTTACCATGCTTACCAAAATTTTTTTTGTAAAATAATTTAGAGCTTGAATAATAATTCTATTTTCATCATAACAGGTGCCATACCCGGTAAATCCTTGCAAGTGTGTAAACACAGACCTGGTTTTAATTATAAAAACATAGTTTCAACGTTATTCAAAACGGGTTTTATTTCTTAGAACTGGCGAAGGGGATTTGGTCTCGGCGCTCTGAAAGTTTCTCTTTTTATTTCAAATACAGAAATTAGCCCAAATAAAGAGCGAAAAAAAGAGGAAAATTAAATTGGTGCGTTGGATTTCTTCCGCACCGTGCAGTAAATAATGGTTTAGAAAACTACCTAGAAAAAAAAAGAGAGATTAAATATAACTGATTTGGATTGAATGTTGAGCAACGTTAAAAATTTTTTCAATGTTGTGTAGTTTGCTAAAAGTGAAACTAAACAAATCTGTCAGCGAGCATTTCATTGTGATTTGCATATTACTATCTGTTTTATTTAATTTTGTTATAAGGTTTAGCAGAGTTCAAGATAAGAACTGAAATTTGAAGTGAAACATTTGTATTATGTGTGACTATCATTGGTACATAGTTTTATCTTAATAATGTAAGGAAAAATGTGGTAATGGCTGTCGATAACAGACATTAATAGATTTAGTAATGTTGATTAAGGACAAAAACTTTTCCCATTTAAAAGGAACGATTGCCGGTGCATCTAGCTACAGAAAAATGAATGACTTATGCATGCACGAAATTAAATTTTTATTTTTCCCATTATTAACGAGGAAGAATATTGGGCTGAAACGTTTGGCCGGCTATGTTCGGGTTAAGGGCACCGTGACCTCGTTGAAGTAAACCTCGTTGCTTGATTCCCACTGTGCCACTCTCTGGTTTGAAATGGTAGTAGCAATACGAAACAGCGTCAACTGCTACAAACGATTTCCTAATGACATGCTATTTGCTTTATTCACATCAATTTCATCGTAACTGTTTCTGTATTATATATCGTGTTAAGAGCAGCGTTGCGTCAACTACTTTGACGAAGGGCTGACGCTCGAAACTTCAGCTTTAAAAACTCTTTACGGCAGCCAATTTACGTTATCTACTCAGTTGATAAAACCAAATTATCTTGCAATTTCCCCCTTCCCTTCTTCCCCCCCCCTCCCACTCACTGATGCTACACTAAAGTTTCCTTAGAGCTTACCCCCTTTGTTTACATGACACGGGTTGACTTTGTTGCTAATTACATTCTTAACAAACTGGCTGTTAAAGAATGTTAACTATTTTTGTGTGTTGTTTTACCAACAAAGATATGTGTTGTATTTGTTATTTTTTAGAGGGTCCAGCACTAAAGAGAAAACCAACTCCTCCAAAAGGATTTGTTGGTCTCACCAGTGAGGAAGAGATAGCTGAAAATGACGATGAACAAGAGCTTGTTACGGTCACGAAAGTCGTGGAAGAGGTACTAAGTGATTTATGTGGTGACAGAGAAGTGGTTGTGTTAGGATTGAGGTGGGGAGGGTGGGGTTTAAACCACTCAACTAGGTGAGCGTTAGTTTAGGTTCAAAGTGGAAAGAAACTGTTTAAGGTTCGCCAGTTCGAAGCTAAGAAACGTTTTGGAGAAAGTAATGTGAAAAGACAAGTGTCATACTTTTGTATTGTTGTATTCACCGTCTCATCGCACAACTAGAAAATATTTCAGGTAGAGAACCTTTTAACTATATGGAAAGCGGAGAGAAAAAAGTCAGATTGTCAGTTATAACTTTGTTTGCTTATTTTCTTTGTTGCCTGGGGAAAGATTAAACAGTAAGCCTCGACTTGATATGCTCGATCCAGTTCTCCTGACACATGTCCAAACGAATCGAAAGCAGCTTATATTCTATTTCATGTTTGATGGTCTGTGCAGCTGGCGGTTTTGTGCGCAGCCTTTAAATAAAGCTGCAAAGCTGCAAGAGGTTTGGGACAGAAAATAGTGCGAAAACTCAAGTATCCGCTGCTCGTTACGCAAATCCGCCGCCTTTCTGTCCATCGAGCACCCAAAAGTACTTTGATTAAAGCTCCCATTTTTTAAATAAGAAAAACAGTCAGGGACAAACTTGGCAATGACTTGAAATACGGAGATTATCCGGTTGCTCGGATTGTATTTAGCTATGTCTCGAGTATTGTTCTTTCCTCTGCAGATTGAATACACGATCCACCGGAACAACAAAGGCCTTGGAATCAATATTGCCGGTGGAAAAGGTTCGACTCCTTATATGGGAAATGACGAGGTAAGAGAGAAGATCATGTTTGATCACATTCGCTTCAGCCGTTTGAGTTTTTTCTGTCGTTGAATTTCTGTTTTGGTGCAAAATACTTGGTGACTTTTTCTGACGTTGTGGCAAAATTCATAATTTGTTTCGTTTCTTGCAGGGAATTTTTATCTCTAAAATTTCAGAAAATGGTCCTGCAGGACAGGACGGGATACTTAAAACGGGCGACAAAATCATCAAGGTAACTCGATAATTCACAATAGAGTACGGCGCATGCTCTGTGGAGTTTATTTCTAAGAACTTTGATGGAGAAAAAGGGCCCTTACTTGGTGTAGAAAACGCAGTATACGTCACTATTGTTTTTATTGTTTTCATATTTCCGGTTGTGATGAAATTCTATTTTGACGTATACTGACGTATACTTTCTATATCAAGTAAGAAACAGAAAAAGGCCCTTTTAGGTCAAGTACAGCAAACTGAAATTAAGAATAATGTGCTTGTTATTTCTCCGTATAATTTCACCCTTGAATCAAATGCAAAGATTATGACAATAAGGGAAATGATCACCAATTTAACAAACCCCTGATTGTCCAAAAAAACCCCAAAAATGTACATATCCTTGTCATTACCATAGGAAATGTAAAGAGAACAGTGTGGAGACCTGAATGCTAATGTTGAGGTGAAAAGGGTCAAGAATTTTGCTAATGTGACATTTCTTTATACATTTGAAATAGGCTATACGATATCTTAGCAACTAGAAGTTCCCTTGTTTGATTGAGTACACGTATTATGCATCATCCAGAAAAATACAACGTGTATCATTTCTTTTTTAGGTAAATGGAGTGAATATTTCCACCGCCACACACCATGAAGCGGTACATGTCTTGAAAAATGCTGGAAATGACATCCACTTAGTTGTAGTTAGAGAAAGGGAGGATCTGGAGAAAAGAACGGTCACCAAAACATCTCGAGAAAACCTGATGGCTTCAGAAGATGGTGATTTAATCGATGAAGCTCTGGAAGAGGCTTTCACTAAGGAGGAAGTGAATGAAGTCCACCAGGAGCCAGAACCTGAGCAACCGAAGGTGAGATTCATGGTGAAACTTGACGTCTGTAATTGTCCTATGCAAGGGTTTTAACCCTGTGACTCCCAAGGGTGATTAGCATCTACTTTCTCCTTACAATATCACGGCTGAATCATACATTTGGGTCATGGGAACAAAGGAAATGGTCACTAAGGAAGGAATCTTTTGGTTGGCAAACAAATTCTCCTTGTCAGCACCTTAGGAAATGTATAAAGAACAGTGTGAAGAATATGCATTCTGATGTTAGGGTATAAAGGGTTAATGCAACCGGTTCCCAACAGTTTACCGCCGCCCGTGTCATTGGTCACTTAGGTTATTATATTAATACTACCACTTGGTTATTGTGTTGTTATGTAACCGTGTTCACACTACAAACATAACAACACTTTGACTGTTTTGGCGTAACGCTGGCGTCGTCATGCCACTATGGGAATCAGGCTTTTATCCTCACTGCCTATCTGTCAAACCCCTTGACTGTCTATGACGAGGAGGGGAGAAACAGAACTTTGATCAGATTGTGTCATGTACTTGCAGGTGACTGAAGAACCACCAAAGGAGGAGACGAAGAAAGTTGGCGTGAGATTTGCTCCAGAACCTGAAATGGAGGAGATTCAAACGAAAACAGAGGTACTCTTGATGTCAATGAAACGTTTGCTTTCAATAAATGATACGCTCAGCATTTACTTACCGTGAAGCTAATCTAGGGCTTCTAGAAAGGTTTATTGTAAGGTTAATTAAAACTCTTTTATGAGGAGGACGGATATTTTGTTGGATTTGTGTTGTTGATAGAGAAGGTTTTTTAAAGTGAAATTAAGTTTGGATTATAGAGAAAATGTCATTTAAATATTTTTAAACTACGATTTTTAATTGATTGGCTTCCCAATTAAGATGAACATTATGTTGTAAGTGAGGGATTTTGTTCAACATTTTTATAATTTATAAATCATATTCCATCTATGTCTTCACAGAAAGAGACAATCACATTAAAGCGAGGAGGCGAGAAGGGCCTGGGGTTTAGCATCGCGGGGGGTCGTGGCTCAACACCTTACAAGGATGGCGACTCAGTAAATAGAATTTATTTAGTTCAAAGTTAATCATATTTTTTTACGCTATGAACGTTAGTGGTACGTTGGTTTTTAATAATAATGTGTGCATAACCTCACAGATGATATGAAGGTATTTGTCTTCGCTATTGCCGGCAAGTGCACTTTTTTCAAACCTTCGGCAGAACGTAGGCATTGTTGTTGTTGTGGTTTTAATTCAACTCTCTGAGACTTTTGTTCAACAATTGTGTTTTATTTCAGGGAGTATTCATCTCGAAAATTGCTGAGGGTGGAACAGCTGAGCGGGATGGAAGACTCCAAGTTGGTGATAAAGTTCTTTCGGTGAGTCTTCGTTATCGACTTAGGTTGTTGGAACAATTTAGATAAGTAATCCAGGTTTGCTTTGGTATTTTCCTTTCTTCGGATTGGCCTACGTAATCAATTTGGTTTTGTTTAACGAAAATCAATCAAAAAGCGCTTTATTCAGTTGTGTAATGTAACCTGCCATCAACTCACCGTGGAAAGTAGTCTTGTGATTGTTCTTGTCCCTTATTCTGTTTGGTCAAGTGGATCATTGTCGGTATTTAAGCAACTTCGCACGGACCCCTCCCTTAACCCAACATTAACACTAACATGTTGTCACTTGTGTGTTGTTGGGTTAGGAGAGGGGAAGGTGCTCAAGTTATCTTTGCCTTATTGCTTCTCCTTTGCCAGTCCCGTTCTCATTTTCCTTATCCTTGTTTTTTTTTTTCGCATTTATTTTTTTGTCAGATAAACGGCAAAGACATGAAAATCGCGCGACACGAGGACGCGGTGGGCATGTTGACAGGCGGCCTGTCGTACGTCACGCTTGTTGTCGTCCGTGAACGAGTGATAAATAAGAGAATGTTACCTCTCTCTAAACTGCAGGATCAGTCGATACTTAACAAGAGATTACCAACTAAAGTAAGCTTAAAGTCACTTCATCTCTAGCGTCTTAGTCACGCTCTTTTTTTACGAATAGTTTCTGTATCTGGAGGTTTCGCATAACTCGCCTCCTACCACCTTTCTGAGTTCGCCAAACGAGTTGAAAGATTAGAGTGGGGTGGGGTGGGGGCGAACTGGATAAAGTTGGTACCGGGCGAACTTGCGATTGGACGAAACTTCTTTAAAACATAGACTCGTGGATTCGCAGACAAAGATGCACACGCGCAGCGAGACTTGAAAAGTAATTAGCTGACAGAACATTTCTCTTTAGCCTGAAATGAACCACGTAACACCGGAGAAAGTAGCAGATGTCAACCACACGGACAAGAATGGAACCGCCGAGCTGGATATTGAGGTTAGTATTTTGTATTGTCACTCAGACAGACTACTATTGTACGAGTGTTTTGTACAATTTCAAGCCGTTTAACCCTTTAACTCCTAGAAGTGATCAACATGTTACTTCTCCCGATAATCTACAAACATTATCCAGTAAACAGGTAATGAGAATTCTCAAACTTATCAGATAGAAGTTCTTATCTTGATCTGACACCAAATTCTCGTAACCAATTTACAAGGAAATGTGCAGCAACAAGAGGGGAGAATTAACAATCAGATCTTAGTTATAAGTATTTTGCTTAACATTGTTCATCATCAAGTCAATTTGGGTTTGTTTATAGGAAATCGTTCTCAAGAAAGGAAGCAGTCCCTTAGGATTTAGTATCGTTGGAGGTTCTGACCATGCCAGTCATCCCTTTGGAATGGACGAACCAGGAATATTTATATCAAAGGTAGGAGGTTATGGATCACTGTGCCGTGCTACAGCAAATTATTTTGAACCCAGAGATCATAGTTTAACGTGTGATCTGATCGCTCCGCATGTCTACAACAGTGTTATGTTCTTACGCAACAGTTGTAACGAAAGGTTTTTTAAGGGACAAGGCTTGTATCTAGTCGCCAGGATAAAATTTTAAAAAATATGCCTTCCTCTCTTCAGACGTTCGTTTGCAAAAACCGGAAGAACTCTAAACAACCTAACTGGCTTCGCTCTGACGAAAGACTAACGCGCGAAACGTCAGATTTAAGAACTCTTTACGATGGCCAATTTTAATTATCAGCTCCGTCGATATAACTAAATTATCTTGTAATGCCCTTCACCGACGCAGCAGCACGGTTTCTTTTTAACTTTTATTTCACTTTTTAATACTTCTATCTTGCCGCCTCTTGTAGATTGTTTCAAACGGAGTTGCCGCCACCACTCATCTGAGGGTCGGAGATAGAATAATGCTGGTAAGGAATCGATTTTCTTGATACATGCTGGTATTATTTGCTGGTCTGTACTAGGCAAAACCAAAACCAAAACCGAAGTCCTCATATCAACCAATCAGAGTCAAGGGAGATATCACAATGAGCCATTGAGAATTTGAGGTGGAAACATTCTCTGCTCAAAGCGCGAAAAAAAAATGAGTGACCAAGTCGTGAATGGTTTAAGTTTTGAATTCGCTTGGTTGAGAAATCGGCGCGAGTTTTCGGGAGAAGCTTATGATGAGCCTGTTACAAGAATAAATACATATTACATAACAACCTCTACTTTTGATTAATTAGGGGAGGCAGGCCAAGTATGTAACTCGTAAAACGACCCTCCTTTAGTATGGAATCGTGAATACACCTATTTCAAATGAAAGCGCGAATTTTTGTGCCATTAATTAGAGAAAGAGGTCTTTGAATGCGGCTGTTCCCTTCCTCGGTACATGCTCAGACACAACTGATTTCTTTTGTGACCAGATTGAATGGAATACTTGGATGTTTTGTTTGGTTGCTGGCTTAGTTTTGGAGTGGAGTCCGCTTGTCCAATTCTTTGTTTAATTTTCAGTCAGCTTAATGAGTTTGTTTGACTCCGGAAGTGACTCAGTTGATGTAAGAGACTCTATGATTTCAATGACTGTTTCAGTGCATGCATGCTACTTGCTATTTATACCCAAAATCGAAGTTTTATGATTGTATTTGGTAGACCGTTACGTTCAGAGCTAGGGTTCTGTTTCAACTTTGTAAGTTTTTTTTCTCGTTGACACCAGGTTGTATGCGATCAAAAGTAGCTAGGGTTTCGTCAATTGTTGTCGGATTAATTTACTGGGAATGGAAATATAGGAACTTTTACGTTGTTCCAGCGCGACTCTCGTTCCCAAAAGCTTAACCCTTTAACCCCTAAGAGTGACTCGCATCTAAATTCTCCCTACAATATCATCCCTAAATCACACATTAAGGTCACGAGAATAAAGGAAATGATCGCCAACTCAAAAAGCTCTCGATTGTTAAACAAGTTCTCCTTATCAGCAAGTTAAAAAACGTGTGGAGAACAGTATAGAGAATATGCATACTGATGTTCGGTTGTAAAGGGTTAAGCAAATTTCATGAAAGTGTCCTAAAGGTAAAGAATTAGCCTGAGTAGACAGAGTGTTAGACAGAGAACCCGCTGAATCCAACATCTAGATGTTTTGTTACAGTGGATAATGAAATCGTCTTGCCTGTCATGATTGATACTGGTACACGTCAGTCTTAAAGAGATTGTTGGTGGTGAAATAATTGAAATGAAGTGGAGTTTTTTAATTTGGTAGAACAGGAAATTTTTGTAGTCATTAGTGTCTGCATTCAAACAGTTTATTTTGTGGCTCCATGTAAGTGTTGTCAATAGAAAACCTATATTACTGATTATCATATAATGAAGTTTCTATTGATCGAGTACACAACAGTAAAACCTTTTTGCGTGCGTAAGTTTTAAGTAAAAAATCCAGTTGCAAAAGGTCAGAGTAAAATTGCTTCTAGTTTCGTGGAGCGTGGAATAAAGGTCTAGGCGCCTTCTGATATTGGAAGCAGGCGCATTCGGTGGCGAAAAATTAATGCCGACAAGTCTTGAGCATCACATGTAACTACAAGATGTATCTAATTTACTGTAAGTGAAGGACTCTCAAAAGAGGTGTTGTTCCTAGTGATCTTTCAGTGCGTGGGTTCTTGTTGTACAAGCAACCAGCCTCGGTTCGCACGCTTTCGTGTCAGAAAATGCCGCAGACAGTTGAAAAAACGCCAGTTTCCGTGCTCAATCTTTTTTGTTAAAATAACGCTAATTAATCGGCTGAAAACCGCCGGCAAGCTCGTTGTCAAAGGGACCGCCATCACAGTTAAACACATGTGTCTAAAAGCATTCTTTTTACTTTTTTTTGTGAATACTGCTGCTAATATGTGTTTGATCGCCGACTATACAACTCCAAAGACCCGTCGGTTCCTCAAAGACGTCAGGTAGCTCGAAAGTGAACATTTATAGTGTTAAGCACCCCCATCGGGGTCATTAACTGTGTTTACATCATAACCTGAAATACTTTGTCTCTGAAAAGAATCAATTCACTCGGGAATTGGTAGTGTTCGCTCGACTACATTACTTACGGTCGAGCTGTTTATTTAAGCTCTGTAACGTTGTCAAAGCAATAAGTGAATTGAAAAGCTGACGTAGAACAGTGTTTGTGAGCATTTTGGAAAAAATATCGGAGACTAACCATCACAAGTGCTATGATTGGAGTGGATATAGTCAGAAGCTGGCCGTGCACTACTTCTCTGCGGAGAAAGGTGAATTGAGAGAATTAAACCTCTTGCTATGACTGCTTGGTTCTGCAAGTGTCGCTTTATAGTTTTTCTTGGAACTTAAGTCCATGGTTTTACTGAACTAGAAGCAATCGATTGATCTCATTTCCGTGCGGAAGAAGAATTAGTGTGCGAGGTTTTTTTCTTTAAGTAAATTATGTAATAAAAGCAAGTTTGAAACTTTTATACAAGTTTAAGATTTTTTCTCATTTCTTTCGGTCGATTTTTTTGGACAAACTAATCACTGTCTTCTTATTTTAAAGGTTGTAGATCTAGATTGACCTTAACACGAGTTGACCGTCCGTCATCTTTATTTCCTGTAATAGATGAAATTGTTTATTAGGAAATTTTTAATTTGGATATTGTAGGCGACAGACAGTAGTTCATGATATTTTCAATGGTTTTCATGACATCGATAATGAGGAAGGATTCGTATTTGTTTTTAAGGGTTTTAGGGTAGGCAATTCCGTGTTCGTCCAGCTTAATGAAAATCTGAACATAAAGTTATGAGTCTCGTAGCGAAGCTGAGCATTTTTTAGAGCTCAGACGGTTTTCTGACTGATGAGTTCTTCATTTAATTTAGTGTGGATATGAAGCTGTCAATAAGTGCTTTGGGATGTCTGTAGAACGGTGCGTCTTGATTAGCAGTTAGTTGAGTAGATTTTTTTTCTCCAAAACCATCCAACGCTTTTGTTTGTCATAGGTAAATGGAAAAGACATGAGGAACGCTACTCATCAAGAAGCCGTGGCAGCACTGATAGCTAATGTTTCACTCATAAAACTTCTGGTCCGCCATGACCCACCACCTAAAGGACTTCAGGTATGCATAATTATTGTGTCTAACTATAATTAGTTACTTTCTCATCCCTCAACAAAGATCTATCTGCTCACGGGGAAAAAGTTATCAAAATATATTTTCGCTATCTGTCAGCTCACTCACACTTTCGTGTTTATTATGTAATGAGTAAATAAAACAATTGTGTGCCGAAGCGTAACTTGTTTTTGTGGTCTTCGAGGGTAGAGTACGACCTCTGTCAAGTCAAATGCACTGTGCAAAACTCGTTTTGATTATTCAGCCATTAACTCCTTAAAAAGACAAAATTCCTTAGAGCTGTTTCGGCGGTTCTCATGTTAACGAAAAATAAAGTTTCATTCAGTTGATTACATTTGTGAACTTTCATTGTTTTCCGTAGTCTCTTGTGTAAGCCAGAGGTTTATTATAGTGAAAACGCTATCAATTTGCCGTGTTTATTTTACCAGTTTTAATGGAATTCTCTAAAAAGTATTCCTTTCGTCGTTTTCCGCACTTTTCAAGAGTTTTGTCACCCAGACACAGATATTCCTTCTCTGTTTTTCATATATTTATTAATACATCAAAGAAGGCCGGCACATCGCGAAGCCTTTTACATCGAAACCTTTGTCAGACACGCCTTGCATTTTATTCTTGCAAGCTACAATAAAAATCTGGGTGGTAGTTTGTTTTGAAGCATTATCATAGCTTTCAGTTTCATTGTTGCATTCGGGGTTCAGTCCGTGGTTGAACTTGATTTTAGCGTGTCTTGTTGGTCTAAAATATTTGTTTACAGAGCCATTTGTTGGGTTAATTGGCCGTCTAGCAGGCGGAGTTAAGTGATCTGGGTTAAGCTCTAGTGTTTTGTTGGATCCTAGCACTGTTGTCTGATGTCAAATCCTTTGAACCACGGCTATGATTCATTTCCATTTTCTCTCTTCTTGTGTTGGTGTAATTGTGCGAAAGTAGCTTAGGAGAGTTACTTAAAAGATCAGGTCTTGGGAAGGCAACAGATTTGAGATTGAATACTCCAAAGTTATCGTAGAGGAAATGTGTGAATGATTTGAAGGAGAATTTTGATCTGAACCATTCATACCCACAGACCTAATGAGCAAAGATTTATTTAATTTCTTTTCTTGGTTCCCACCCACTGACTGTGAATGAAACCGTTGTTGTCTTCTCCGGAAGAAGAGTATTTTAGCTGAATACAATCGGAATTTTCTCTATCGTCTATCTTTTTTTTTTCTGGAAACAATAGACTTGTTTTTGCGAGCCCATAAAAAGCATCGAAACCGTAACTTAAAGGAATGAATGAGCGTACTAAGAATTTTTTTTCATAATTATTTGGTGACTTTGGATTTTAACATCTTGTTAGGATTTCATGTCGAAAAATTCAAGCAATAAACAACCGTTCCACTCTTTTTGCTTTGCACGCGCATATATGCTGTCACGTGACTCTCAAACAGACGGCGGCATGTTGGCTATCCATGTGTTAACCAATCAGAGATCAAGTTTGTGTCGATGACGTTCATGAAATCTGCGTAATCAGACGACGATATGTTGTACGTCTGGTTGTGTCAAAGCTTTACTCAGCTAAATACATTTGAGACTTTTTACGTCTAATTCAACAACTACGTGTAACTCGGTTTTTTTTTTCCTTCGTCAAAAATAGGAGGTCTACCTCCACAAAGGTCCAGGAGAGAGACTGGGTATCAGTATAAGAGGTGGCGCTAAAGGACACCCTGGTAACCCGTTAGACAAGTCAGACGAAGGAATATTCGTATCTAAAGTGAACGAAGGCGGTGTAGCTTACAAAGATGGGCGGCTTAAAGTTGGACAAAGATTGCTGGAGGTTTGTTAAGAAAATAGAAATAACGCCCAAATATTTACCTTTTGAATACTTTATATTGTATTTTTGTCTTTGCAGAGCTTTTTTTAGTACGTCAGATATTGAATTTTTTTTATTAACTACTATTTTCGTCTCTCAAAATTTCTTATTATACTCCAGTCGAGCGGTACTGAAAAATCTGGGTTCCGAAAATGAAGCTAACTTTTCACGAATTTTATTTTATTGGCGTGTGAAACCAATTCATTAAGTATGTGGTGTTCGTACTTAAAGAATAGTATCTCATTCTGTTATACCTGTTCAGTAGAGTGTACTTAATTATTTTTAAGTTAATCACTTTTTCTATCCTTTTGTTCCATGAAGTGACCTTTTTTGAGAGGCTCCTTTTATGCAGGTGTTCTTGTAAAGCGTTCAAACGCGTCCGGCTCTTTAGCCAATAATCACTGTGTATTCTTCTCATAAGGTCAACGGCACCAGCCTTTTAGGCGCCACACATCTGGAAGCCGTGCGATCGCTCAGAGGGATTGGGGATGATTTAACATTACTTGTTTGTGACGGGTTTGACCCGGCTGAAGTTCCCGCGGGACAGCACGCGGCCTGGCAAGCAAGTCCCGTAGCGTCAATCAACTCTGGAAAATCACAGAGCCAGGAGTCCTTGGAACGAGACATCATCCCATCAAACGAAAGAGCGTACGATGACATTAGAAGAGAGATTAAAAGACAGGTTGGTGGAAGTTGCTTATTTATTCATTTTTGTTGATAAAGTAATCAATGCCTGCTTCGAAAAAAATATTGGATAGAGGTGCTTCTAACTAGGCGGCATACTTAAGCAAGGCCAAATGTTCGCTCTGAGGAAGGGCTAACGCCCAAAACGTTAGATTTGAAACACTTTACGGTGGCCAATTTGCATTATTTACTCAGGTGATAATACCATTTTATCTTCTTATCAAAGCAGCACCACAGTTTCTGTAAAAACCTCCCCCCTTTTTTCATAAAGTACTACAATTGTTTAAGAGGTAGAATCGGGTTTTCTAAGAGAGTCTAGTCACGATTTGATTTTAATTGCGTGACACTGGCCTCTTATCTCGTCATGCTATGAGTATTACTTGTCGTAGTGACGTGACGGCATTTTTATCGCACCTCTTTTGGCGTGGGGTCAAAACTTAAACATCAACTCAGTAATCTCGGAAACATTTTGGAAGGGAAAACATACAGCCCAAAGGCTATTTATGGTCAGTCTTTCTTGTTTTTATGTCACACTAGTACTTGCATGATCGTGATTAAAGATCTGTAAGAGATCTCTGAGGCTATCAAATTAAGTTTTACAGTAGCGAACGCTTGAGTTTAGAGGAGGTCGTGTTTCGGCAATAATAGTTATCAGAAAGTTTTCTGCCGGCATCTTTTTCTTTGATTTCCAACGGAATTCTGATAATTCTCGCCCATGAGCTCTGAACTGAGCAAACGCTTAATAACTATAACATTTTGTCGAGCACTCGTTTCTGATTTTCTGTAAATCCCGTTTTTTTACAAGAGATTTAAATGATTAAGTGTTGACGTACATGAAGGGTATTTCTCCTTCAAATGTATGCTTCCCTCTCTTTTTAGTTTAAGGAATGCCTTCATGCAGATCTTGATTTTGCCTGCCTTAAAGAATTTTTTTTTAGGTGAAACATTTTTGTGCAAGGAAAAATATGGTTTTCATGTAAATTGTTTGAAATGCTTAGTTAATCCCCTTAATCGGATTGAATATAAACTCTCTTATAAAGGGTTCATTTGTTAAATTCCGAGATTAAGATTTCACATGTTTGGTGGCTAATCTTGTAATGGAGGGATTTGAAAAATTCGAGATATTTTCTCATTACGAAAGCGTAAATTTAACACTGAATCGTCAAAAGGGAAGTGAATGCGCTCTATATCTTCGGACTGCTAGTACTCACCAGGGGTGGGGGGGG